TTTCTCTGGTTCAGTACATCAGTTTCACAGGAGTTTTAAAACACTCACAACATATCCATAGGATTTAAGAGAAGTGTAGTACTAATTTTTTTACACGTCTATAACTCTAGCTAATCTCAACGAAATTAGACAAAATTGCTGCAATGGGTTCAGTTTTGTCACTGCAGTGTTCATGTGAAAAATCAGCCTCTAAAACCTTGTAGATTTCTGAAGGTATCACTCCTAACCTTGCCTTTTGCTAGGGTAAAAGTTTCTATTGTAAATGTACCTCAAGGTAAAGGCATAAAGTTTGATGAATACGGATTTATCGCTGATAAGGCTACCTTGAGGTAGAATTCACCTCAAGGTATCATTCAGTCCACATGAAATCATTTTCAAGGTTGATCTAAGCTTGAGCATTTACCTCAAGGTACATTGATGAATACGGGTTTTGAGTGATAATCCTACCTCAAGGTTCATTTTACCTCAAGATAGCAATGATGAATACGGCCTCAGAAGGAAGTATCAGGGTTGAAAGCATATTTTAAGAGCATGGTACTGCGCATGAAGGCTATGTGTTTTGAGACAACTGAGCATAGTGCTGCAACCGCAAATCCATTCGAGAATTTTAGGATTATCGCCTTGCATTCCGAAATTTCGATAACTTTACGTTGCAGACATATTATCGCAACCAAGTTAGCTGACCTTTCTGTTGCTTTTTTGGCGGAAAAAGAAAATTCTGCAAATTCCGACGACTTTCTATGTCATGAATCACCATGTGATTGCAGTCATCCAACCATGCAGCTCTCCATTTTTATTCCTTTTCTTGGAAACCACTGTGATCTGTGGAATAATCGAAACATAATTTACAGAATCCTCTCGGATATACTGTTGTCTTAAATCGAAAGTCCTCCAGGCCATATATTTGTCGCAATCGGCTTTTGGAAAACATGATGTCTGCATTTTTTTCATCGTAATGAATCCATACAAAAGTCTAGCAGCATTTTGCACCTGCTACCACAACAGTGGGAGAACTCTTTGATGGCTTATGGCTTCTGACTACGGTGGGCAAAGAAATCAAAACTTTCAAGCGCGTCTTTTTGAGCGCGATTTTTCCCTCTCTTGTGCCCTTTCTTTCTTTTTCTCTTATAAGAGGCTGTTTCCGCTTTTTACGGGAGAAAAAAAAGAAAGAAAGAAAAAACAACAATCGCTGCTCTTGAGGCATTCCGGTCCTACGTTTGAAGTACTTGAATACGTATCAGTCAAGCATGTGCTTAGAGTTTCGCTGCAATAGTACAAACTAATGTTTTCTATTTTAATTCTGAGGAAGTTGAGAAACAGCATTTTTCAAGTGCAGAAACCGCTCTGAATATAGGCATTGTATACAAAAAATCGAATAGCATTTTTATGACATAATAATTCCAGAATTTTGATCTACCTATCACTCTTCATGTTTGGCACAATTTCTTGTTTTTCTTTAATAATTTCCTGATTGGAATGGACAAAAACTGCTGTCGTGATGGAGGAACATGGGAATAGGAGAATCTTTTTATCACTCCGAATATTATTCTTGAGCAGCATTCCAAATTTGGAATCTAATTTGTTCGAGATATTTGCAAGCTCGTGTTTTGTGGGATGTTTAAAGTGGAGAGATTGAACACTCTCCTTTTTTCTGTAAAGAAAGTTCAAGGAATGATTGAATTGCTCTCGGAGATCAGAACAGTTGAAAAGATTTTAGCTACGGCTACTTCGTGAAAAGCCAGGCTCCGACTAAGATTGGGAAAATTGTCGTAAATCTGTTCCAGAGCACTAATGATTGATTGACCAGCGCATCTCGCTTTCAGTTTTCATTCTCTCAAGGTCAGGGAGATTCGTTCCGATTGCTATAAACATAGCGATGGATGCATGTGATATAGCCTACATGCAAAGGTGTCTACTCTCCCAAATCTGATCTTTGATGCTGGATCTCAAGAATGTTGAATTTATTCTATTTCTCTCACTGAACGCATTCTATACTTTTTTCCATCGCTTCTACTCAGTCTTTCCCTTTGGTATGAAACTACATAGGTCCTAATTTATAAAGTCTCCTAGCCTGTTTTCAACGGAATAATCTCGTCGAAATGTGCTTGCAACCACTACCATATTTGTCAATGATAGTTTGAGCTAAAATTCATCTCCAAGTGTTCCTACAACTGATAAAAGTTTATGGGGTCAAGTCGAGGTACTTTAAATGGAACGTACCCCTAACAGGGGCACTTTCCATTTCCTCTGCACGAGCTGGCACCACGGAAACTTCAGAACGAAGTCCCCTTTGATCTTGGAAATTTTGACGAAGTCCCCTTTGACCCGAAGCCCTGAACGTAAAAACCTTAAAAAATCGTCGCTATTTCTGTCTTTTCGGTAACAAAAACGATTCCTTTTTGTTTTTTGTCCCAAAAACGATATGCAGCTTGACCCGGTGCCTACTGTGCCAAGCCGTGGCCGCTAGTCTTTATATATCTGTGATAAGACTACAATGACAATGAGATAGGCCTCACCTCTGTGGTGATGAATATGCCCATGGATTTACTCTGATGTACATTTAATTAACAAAGTGTACCTTGCTTTTTTGTCCAATCAATCAGTTGTTGCAATCACTGAAATTCAGTAACTCACTCAAGTAATCATCATTATAAGCTCGATATGTATGCTTATCCTCCGTTGTGAACTTGAAGTGGTGTGCCCAATCATCTCGATCTATATATTTCACTTTTACTGGGTTGTCAAATCTTTGCACCAGGTAAAATCCATTAACTCCTCCATTTGTTCTAGAATCATTTTTGGTGCTTGATTTCTTACAGAAAGTCGATCTTCAACTTTTTAGCTGAGCTTAACGCAAATATTATATTTGACAAACCTCAACGTCACAAACTTAAAAAACATAATCTTCAATTTTTGGTCACCAGCAATGCTGAAGCAGGTAAATCTGTCCGCTCTGAGTATTGTTTATCAAAATATGATTTTTCGATGTTCTTAACGTCTTTTTGGTCTCTGTGTAATACGATTTCTAACATATATAACCTGCTATATATAAGAATTACAACAATCTACTACATGAAGAAAGTTGCCTAATATAAACTTGAACATCCGTGACATCTTCCTAATATTTGTTGCGAGATATTAGGGCAAAGTGTTGCTTCAAAGAAAAAGCCTAACGAAAGATTCTTCTGCTTGAACATGTTATGACAATTTTGCTTTACTGTGCAGCATATCGTTTTGCAAAAATCGAGGTTCATTTAGAAACGCATTGGTTCAGAAATTTTAGCACTTTCAATTCAGCCCACTACGGCTTTTCATTTGCAAAACGTTAACATATCGACAAGTATGCGTAAGTGAATGATTATTTCGTTCCCGTATGAATCAACAATTTTATCGAGAATTTGTCGCATTGCATGATGACGTGATTGGAATCGAATTCACGCAAATCAGAAAACTTTTTGCAGAATTTCCAAAGTACTTCGTGCAAATACTTGAAACAGCATCAAATAGAAATTCCAGTCTGTCTCACCTAACACCTTCTTTGTGCTAATCTTTTGTGGCTTTTTATCGAGTTTATAGACTGTGTTTTAAATAATTAAATTCTCTCCCTAATTCTCGTTTGCGTAGTGTAATGTGTTCGGAAACTCATCGTGCTAGTTGTGAAGTTTTGTTGCTTTTGATAACAGTATCTGAAAGGACTCTTCCTGTTCGCGTTCGGTTTTCGAACCATCACGAACGCGCTAACGCTGCTGTAAACGACGGAGATTAGAAAAGTCTATGTTGCACTTTCTGCTCCAACGGCTGCAAACTCGTATGAGATACAACATCGCGCGTGTTTTGAAAAAAACGACGCATAGTCGCCCGATTCATGTGACATCACTGGAGCGTGCCAAATCTTACTTGAGTGGACAACTTTTTAGTCGAAGGCACCATTTGACTCAGCTCAGCTCGGCGCATCTTTTGAAATAAAGAAGTATCCTCCTGGACAGAGAGGAGGCTGGATTTCGTAAATCTTCTTAGGTTTTGCTTACGATAGGTTGTCCAGTGTTTACAATGAATAAGCACACTGAGTAACCTACCGTAAGCAAAAATCTGTAACTACTCGTAGAATCTGGCCTCCTACGTTGTCTAAGCGGGCACTTCTATATATTAAAAGACGTGCGGCGCCGAAATGAGTTGAAAAGCACCCTTGGATTAAGAATTCTAATCGTACAAATTTATACGATATTTTCTTCAAAACTTATTCTCTTGCTTTCAAATTATGCAGTAACATAGAGAAGACTTCTTCTCTAACACCATTGATTATGAAAATTCAGGAATTGAATTAAATAGGGTTTAATTCAACATGCTCGCTATGCGCTGGTATTTTGGCCCTTCTAAATGAGAGTGAGAATCAGAAAATGTCTTATAAATCACTTTGCAAACAATTTCAACGAATCGGTCACAATAGATACTTCTACATTGTCCTGTATAAAGATATGCTTTTTACTTGGATTTTGCATACTAGAGTCTCACAATTGTTTCGAGCGTAAGGTCGCTGCTTGTGGCAGGTATTTTTTGCAAATACATTTTCATATTTCATAGAAGAATTTTTGGAAAGTGCAGTTAGGATTCTGCGATAATCTGGAGTTTACTTTACAATCTCAGCTTGGAGTTTATTAGAATGAATTTGAGTTCGTTCAGCTGCGAAGCGAAATATGAAGCTATCGCAAGCCCAATTTTGCCTTTTCCGAAAACCATTAGTCTTGTTCTTTTATTTCTCACATTCTCAAAAAAAAAGCCTTTTTGTTCTGTAAATTGTCTTCGGTAAAGTTTGATTAGAGCATTCTATGACATGAATTTGAGTTCGTATTTCCCAGCATTTTTTCGTGGCAGTGGTACAAAAATCGGCGCCAATTATTTTGGCGCACCCTTTAGTTCGTCTTTCCATTTCTCATATCAAATACCAATAATCAAAAAGATACTCATTTTTTAGAACAATACAATCGCACTATTTCTCGGGAATGAAACTGGTTGAGAAGAAGGTATTGGAATGGCCACCACTGCTTGATGTCAGTATGGTAATTCTCTGTAAGCATTACTAGTTTCTGAGCAGAAGAATTTAGAAGCGTGAAATTCAAGACATGGTTCATGGTCCCATCTCACTATTTCATCCACTCGACCGAGTTGTAGATACAAGAGAATTTCAACGATTGCGTGAACTAAAACAACAGGGTGTCACTTATTTTGTATATCCATGTAGTACACATAGTCGTTTTGTACATAGCTTAGGGTAAGTTTCTGTGATCTTTTTCCTTTTTTTCTGAGCTCCTTACGAATTTTCAGAACTTATTGGTTAGCATATAAATTTGTGGAGTCGCTCAAACGAGATACTTCTTTGAATATCACCAGTCAGGACCATTTATGCGTTTGTATGGCAGCACTCTGTCATGATTTAGGTAGAAGAGCAGTTTTCGATGACCCCCCACTACTATTTCGAACAAATTTAGGACATGGTCCATTTTCACATCTGTTTGATGGAGCGTTTCGCCATGCGTCTGGAACTGCAATTACACCAGAGTACACGGTGGGTAATAGCTACTCCGATCCTTTTTTTTCGAAAACTTTGAAAATCATTACAAAATGGAAACTTTTTCAAGTCTAACATAAACAGTCATTCTTGACTACGAATTTTGCAACAAACAAATGGCTTGTTTACAGCGCACAAATAATCGCATGCTACCAAATTTGGGCTATACGTATGCAATATTACTTGAAACTAAATATATTATGTAAAAAGTTCCAGAAACTTATGTGTCCTAAGACCCGTTCCCGAATTTGTTGGTTTCTAGACCTACACCAGTCCAACTGGGTTGGTTCGGAGCATAAATATCGGAGAGCTCACATAATTGGACCTTTTTAATTTAAAGGATTAGAATGCTTAAAAATCTACTACAGATGTATGCGGGCCAAACCATTTGCTCTCCTCTCTTTCTTTGAGCCAAAAGTAGTGTAAAGCTACGCGTTGATAGATATCGCGCTCCAATTACATGCGGGTCCTTTGAATTATATGGCGGAAAATGCATCGCCAGATTGCTGAGGCCACAAATTTGGTTGGCTTAGGAGGTTTTTGACATTCTGAGCACTAAAATGGTGCCGTATTCAAAGAAAGAGCCTTAAATCGATTTAGAATGTTTTTTGCTTTTTTGTTATATCAGATACATCAAAATGCGTTTCTATCCCATTTTTGCATTGTTATATTGATTAATTAAGGGTTACCCTACTGACTTTAACGTCAAAAAGGAACTTCGTAAATTTTCGCGAAGTTATGAGGGACTTCGTTTCCAAAAATGCTCCAAACCAACGGGCGCCAGGCCATGCTTGTAACGTTCCAAGCGTTTCACAACGTTATCAGGTTGAGCTGAAAGTTGTTCGCACCGTTTTTGAAAAGATCGTAACTTTTTCCACTCATATATTACTGCTTGATGTGCTTTTTATTAGAATGATGTCTGGTGCTCTATAATGGTTTTTGGCGCTTTTGTTAGACTCAGATCGCAGAAAACGAAGCAAAAAAAGGAAAACGCGCGAGTTCTGGTGATTTTAGGCAAGCTCACCAAGAATCTAAAAGCTTTGCAATAAAATTTGAGATTTCTTTATAAGCTATGGTATCTTGTTCTAGTTGTACAAAATTTGCACCAGTCGAATGCCTAATTTAAATTTGTGATAGAAAATAAAGAAAGCTGCGATAGTTTGTTGACTTTTTTTTGCCGAAGTTGAATTTTCCAAACAGCTATTCGATCGGAAAGAAGTCAAAAAAATGATGGTTCTGGCAGGAAATGTCATGAAAATCGTACTATATCGTTTGTCTTATTACATCGTTCTTAGATTTTTGGTGAACTTAAATCACTGAAGCCAGATTCTCTTTTTTCATTCATTTTTGAAATCTGTTTTCACAAGAAAACTTCGTAGGACCATCAAAAAGTACATGATTTTGTTCTCATGGAATCAGTAGAAAACGAAGACAGAAAAGAAAAATGATTTTCAATAATTGTGCGAACAAACTTGAAGGCAGAGTCCAGGCAAATCTGGACATATGGATCCCTCACGTGGATCATAATTTTGGGGCTCTAACTAACCCTGCCCAACCGGCAAGTCAGGTAGTGCTCTAACGTTTGAGATATTCCGCTCGAAACTGGACCCCGGGGTCGTATTTCACATGGATTCATGGCGCAACCCATGGCTCCCTTCGCGAAATTGATGGGTTGCGCCATGAATCCATGCGAAATACGATCACGGAGTTTAATTTCGAGGCGAATAACCCAAACGTTAGAGCACTACCTGAGTTGCCGGTTGGGTAGTGGCTTAGCTAGGGTCCCAAAATTACTATCCTCGTGAGAACCCCATAGTTCAGATTTGCCTGGACGCTGCCTTTAATAAGTGGACAAAAAACTATGTTCGGCTATTTTATTTTTTCGATACATACGAAGTTCTTGGGAGGTGTTTATGTGTAGATATTCTTTGAAAATAGCAAGCTTAAAAAATCGCGTACAAATTTTTCTCAGGAGAGTCCCTTAGAATAACCCAGTAGACACATACACTCATTTGACTATCTCCACCCCTCCCCCCCCCTTACGCTTGGGGTCTCCAAATTTTTGTAATTTCAGCACGAAAATCTCTCCATTCGTCTTCTACGTCGAATTGTGAACACGCCCGAGACTCGTGCAGCATTAGAAGACTACCTGGGCATCGGTGAAGAATTTGAAAGAAACATGACCTTTGTAGAAGAAATCATCAATTCAGAAAAATTTGTAAGGACTTTAAAAATAAGAGTTTCGCCGAAATTCGAGTAATTCAATTTTAGGATTTGGATGGCAAATGGTTGCCACGAGGTCGACCAGTAGAGAAAGCTTTTTTATATGATGTGGTCTCAAATAGCAATGATTCGATAGATGTAGATAAATTCGAATATCTTGTAAGAGATTCCTTCTGTGCTGGGATACCTATTCCATTCAACAAGGTAACATTCCGTTAGAGATTGTCTGCTAGAGTTGAATGGAAGTTTTCTAGCACAGCATTGAACGACTTACTGAGAATGCGCGAGTTCTTCCCGACCCTATCCGAGGATTTCCTCGAATATGTTATGCAAAGAAGGTCAGTTTTCTTGTTATTTTTTTCTGAAAGCCCTGTTTGCTACGTTACAATTTTACATTTCCCTCTTAATCGCGGCAACAACACAGCCTTTCAGTTGGAGCGCGTATTCCCAGGGCCCGGGAATGGGTTACCATCGCTACCATTTCTCATTCTAGCAGACGGGGAGGGTAACTTTTACAGGCGATACATTTATGTGAGAACTATGAAGAAACTATAAATTAAAGTGTTGTTACCTTTGCCTGAAAAGAGGCTTGCGGATGCTCTTCATTCACAGTCTTATAACAATATATTCTGTTTTATTCCTTGAAGGCAGCGACCTAGCAAAATCTATGCCCCCCTCTTAGTATCTAATCTACAAGAAGGCCTTACAAGTAGGAAATGCGTTGAATTTGGTCCTCTAGTGTGGCCTCTGAATGGAGAAATGGTACCTAGAACTCGCTAAGTGCTATCAAGCCGCGCCCTCTCTATCAAGTTCCGCCCACCCAAGTGATGAAAGTCGTCTGTGCAGTCAGGTTAGAATTTCCAGAAATTGGGGACGGGGGAGTGAGTTCCCAGAATGACAAAAACGTAGAAGACGGAGATTTGAGTGGATGCTGCCTTTGGTGCGCCAAAAGCACCAAGCTTAAAGGCAGCGTCCAGGCAAGATCCATCCATCCAGATTAGCACATAGTTGTAGAGAGGGGCCCATGAGTATCCGATTTGCGTTGGTCCAATCCTTTGGTGTGCCCTCTAAAAGGAGATACGGGCCTGTGATACATATCACAAGCCGCCCCTTCGTATCACAAACCACTCATGAGGACGAGTGCTTACGCAGGTGTGCGGTTGCATTGCAGTTGCCTTGCAGTTGCACTGCACACTGCAGTGCAACTGCATCCGTACAATTGCAGCTCCTCCCGCTGGCATGACGATGGGGACGAGCAATTCGAAACTCGTCCGCTCCTTGAAGAGAGGGTCCCCAAGGACCGGGTTTTTTGGGAGTTTTGCACAATTTGGACTTCACAACTGTCATGGACTTTACAACTGTCACTAATCAGGGCCACGGAAAGGCCCCAGATTGGCAAAAACATGAGAGGCGAAATTTTGCCCGGACGCTGCCTTTAAGCCTAGCACCTCTTTTGCGGTGCAAGCGTTTTGTGTTTCCACTGCTCAGTAATAAAAATTTCAAAAAAAAAAATTACTCGCCACACTGTTCAATCAAGTTTTCTCGTAATTTTTCATAGCTCTTTTCTAAGACCATGTTTATTTATCAAATCTTGTGGCATCGTCATGTATGCGTAGTGAAGGAGTCTGCTCACTAATTAAGGGAGGGTTCGTAACTTACTTTGATTTGTCCAAATCACACTCATTCGCATTGAAACGTTGATTTTAAATTTGCTGTTTATAGCAGTGAAGCACTGAAGCGAGCTAAGAGCTTTTTTTGGTTCGCGATATTGACATGCAACTGAATGTGCAGAGACCTCCCATAGATAGGATTCTGCTCAAAAAAAGGTGGTGGGATAAAAAAATAACATCACGCCAAGTCATTTGGTGTGTATAAAGTGGAACTGGTAAGTGGCTCAACACTCAAATTTTGCTCAGGAAGAAGCGCATAACGTGCTTTAGAGTAATGCTTCGCAGCTACGAATAGCATATTTGAAGTTAGCACTTCAAGCCATTAGGCTGGTCAACAAGTAATTTCGGTCGTTTTTTTCGGCTCCCACAAATGTTGCAGATATTTTTTGTCCCATGTTTGTATTTTTGGAAAGAGCACTTCAAGGAGAAGTGGGTCATAGAATCTGTTTGGTAGAATTCATATACAACGAAAAAATCCGCAAAGAAGTGAGAAACCCGATTTTTCATTGTGCGCATGAAAATGTGAATATTTGGTACGTTATAGGAGGAGCCTGAGTTACTCCCGGCCAAAAAATCACGGGTAAAAAACAACTAGGAAAGTTCTTCTGAGAAATTTTACAAAACGAAATCACTTTTTTAGCTAACCGTGTAATTCGAATCTATTTCTTGCTTTCTAAAGGGCCAAATTTGGTTAGATGCCTCTGTCAGTGAAAGAAACTTTTTTGAAATCCGAAATCCAAAATCCATGCTTCCGCGACTACTTCTAGTTGACAGGGCAGGAGCTAGAAGTGAAGCATCTGCTTTGCTCTAAGTTGGCTCCTACAAGGAAAAAATAAATCCAAATCAAAAATGCGCTGCATACAGCAAGGCAAAAGATGCTTGTCGAGATTTCCACTTTTTTGCAGCTCATAACTAAAACCAGCTCATGGAAATCCAGGAATGATAAAAACATAGCAGCAATAACAAGGGAAGGATACTTGGTCCAAGTGCAGTTGCTACATTAGATGTATACTGTCATATAGAGCATGGAACGCTGATTCCAAATCTGCTTTCGGTATCTGCAAAGCGCTAGAATAGGATTATGAGAGTTTTTTGAGGCAAAAATTCAATTCTCGGTTAAAGTAAAAAGGAGTGATGAATTTTTCCTGCGCTTGAATGGAGTAACGACTAGCTCAGATTCATTAGACTTAAGATATTAAATGCACGAAGTATCCTACGATAATAATGATCCCCTCCAAGCTAACAGACTACAGCCCTGAACTATTGTGCGTCTCGAAATTTTGGCGTCAAAAAATTTCTATAGCTCCCCTCCCAGAAGTGCTTTGCAGATAAGAAAAGCATTCGGAATTATCGTCTCATGCTCTATAAGGCAGTATACGTTTCAAAAACCCACTTCGACCAAGTATCCCTCGCTTGTAAGTAGGCGCACAATTTCCAGCTTGGCTTCTGCCACTCTTCTGGCCTTGATCGAGGTTATGGAATCATGAAATAGAATCATCATGGTATTAATTTGATAAATAAAGATGAAATCAAAATAGCAAAAACGTGGTAATCAGTTTATAAGTTTCCATTTCTAGGTAGCTGATATTCTATTATCTGTTGGAGATTCACGACAGATGTTGCACAACTTGCTTTATCAACATCGGGTTGTGTGCGCCATTGAAGCCATGTAAGACTTTAGTTTCTGACATTTGATTTGTATTGGAAGCTATAGCTCATAATTCTTACTAGACCCCGAGAAAAGTCCTTCCTTAATTTTTGCCCACTTTTGATTTGGGGGGGGGGGGGGTAGGTTGTAAAGTGCATGTTACACAGGAAAATCAAGTGTTGAATTCTTCCACTTTTTCTAAATAATTTTCGGCAGTCTTCTAGTTTACGTTATCGAAAACTTAGACTTGTAAGCCATTTCTGCATCAGCACTTTGCTATCTCCTGAGAAGTTCGAAAAGATCTCAAAAAAGAATGAGAGAATTTTCAGACATAAAAAGAAAATGAAGGTCTACCCCGCTAAATTGCCTTCATTTCTCTGTAAATCATGTACGCGAAGGTGAAGATAATGTTGATATAGCTTGTCTTTTCCTTATCACGAACATGAGACTTCGCCGATCTTGCTAGAATTTACTAGAGGAAGAGAAAAAAGTGTGACACTATGCTTTCAATATGTTGCTTGCTTTGTTTTTCTCTCCATAATTATCCTTTCAGCAAGCAAAATTTGTTTTAGGGTTGTGAAAGCAATGATCTTGGCTGATAAACACCTCAAATATATGGGAGATGATGGAATAGAATATAATTTATCAAATGTGACTCAAAATTTAGAAGCATATTTGAAGACTACAGATGCTGTATTAAGAGATGTAAGAACTCATCTATGATTCTGTTATGATCATTTGTTAGTTGTTGTGTTGATAAACCTAGTTTTAATTTTCAGATTGCAAATTCATCTAACCCTGAAATTAGTGAGGCGCAAAAAATTTTGGAAGACATTGATCGTAGAAATATACCCGTTATGATTGCAGAAGTAGAGTGCGGACCATCCTGTGCTGAGTCGGTAGGTTCTGATGCGTTAGCTATCATGGTTGATGAAACAAAGTTTTGGCTTCGCTATCAAAGTTGCTCAAGTTTATATTTTTATGTGCGGTTTGTCGGTATGTTGGTGTTGGTGCTAATCAGTGCTTTAGCTTAACTCTTTGTCGGATGATGTTGCCACTAATTGGAGTAATGTACAGGTATGGCCTTTCTTCCTGTTTTCTGAGAGTTTGAGGAAGTAGGTAAATTTTGAGAGACTGTGAAGAACCAGTAAAGTTCGTAATGCAGCGCAGCGATATGCAAATCTTTAAATTACTTCTAAGGAATCGTTTGATTAGGAGTAGAGGTAGTTTTAACTTACGAAACTGCTTTTTGCCTAGTTTTGCTCATCTGGGATTAACGTTGCACCATCTCATCTGAATTCAAGGGGCAGCGCCTATGCAGATTCTACACATCCTTTCTTTCAGTTTCTGCTCTTGTATCCTGGATTCAATGATGCTTTAAGAGCTTTCAAGAATGTCAAGGTTGCTTCATAAGTTTCCTTAGTCGCAAGTGCTGAGTAGGATTGGCTCTCCTAAGTAGCCAATTGCTCGAAATGGTGTCGACACCTGAATCATTCAGTCGTCCACTCAGCTGTATCTCGAAAGGTGGCTAAGCATACTAGCACATCCAGCTCCATTCCAATAACCTTTTGACACTCTATAAACTGCTGAGGGTAACATTGTAAATAGTATATTCAGAAGGTCCAAAAGCGGAACTCAGCGGTTTGAAAATTATAGCATTATTCTAGTTTCCGTTTTATCTTTTCCTAAATGCAAAGTTTTTATTTCTATACCTTCTCCACAACCTCGGTAAAGAGAAGGGCAAAAAATTTGCTGTTCTTTCACTTCCCTAGTTTCTCCTTTTTTGTCGACCACTCACGGCTGCACCAAATGACGTTCTGAACTCGCCTGTTATCATTGAGATTCTGTGAGAAATAGTTTTGGTCGCTCGTGTTGTATAAATAAAGATCTTTATCTATTTTGACTTATTTGAAATTTATTTTACGAAGGGATTCGAAACGAATGAACTGAAAGTTTATGTGTGTTGACACTAATAATCATGTATAAGCTATAGCCATTTGTGACGAGGAAGTTTTTGATTATTCGAGTTGCAGGACTGTTTTAGTAATCTTTGACTCTTTCATAAAGCACAACATTAATAATTAGATGATATGCATATCTAATATCTTTTCTTACAGTTTGCCCTGCAGAAGCTGATTAGTCAAAGGCTCCGAGAAGAGCTTGCTTTGAGCTACGATGAGAAGAACATCATGGTTTTGGTGAGTCAGCAGGACTTGGACATTCTGGTCAGACGTTACTGAGAATTGAAAGGCTGTGATTTTGTCAGGCACGAGTGATGCACCGTGGCTTGGACGGTAGATCTCATCCTATGACCAGAGTTCTGTTATATGATAATAAGCTCACTGGTAATGTAGTTGCGCGGACCGTCGATGACGAGTGGGTGAGTGAATTTGAGGAAATAACTTGGTTATATTTATACGTAACCTTTAGCTCCGTCTGAAAACTCCAAGAGAAGCAGCTATTTGGTCTATCTGTTTGTATGTGTCTCGCTCTATGAGTAAAGACGAGAGATCAATAGTAATCAATGCTTTCGACGCTGTAGTGGCGAGATCCGGTTTACGATCACCAGAATTTAAAGTGAGGCTATTGTTATGATGTATTGAATCTTGAGCAATATATTTATTCCAGAGAAAAAATGCACTAACGCCTAGTGGCTAAACACTCAGGAGGGTCAATGATCGAAGCTCAAAATCATGGAAAAGATTCACACAATTTTTCTTTTTACAACGTGATCTTAGAATATTTACCTGTAAAAACTAACGCAATAAATATTTCTGGATGTCCCTCTCTACTTCTGACGTGTAAGTCCTCTAAGCTAAGTACGACAAGCACAAGCAATCTCAAAATTGATCCAAATGCTTTAACTCATTTACCACGATTTTTGTGATGCTTACTGTAGAGATACTCAAATCTACATGATTTTTTTAAGAAAATTCCTAGGCGCAGAATGAAAAAGATTTGTAATTTGCAATTTTGGAAGGGTGTACCAATCCAGTCTATTTCATTGCAATCTAGCAGAATGTTGGGAGACCACATAAACTAGGGAGACGGTCAAAAGGCGCGACTTATCCGGCTCCAATTCAAAACTCCAGTTTAATGTTGTGCGAGTCCTCGAAAATACTAGAGTACGTTGGCTTTCCATTTGTTTGAGGTTAATACTTGCTGATTTTGGTGGTTTTTGCTGAAAAAGGAACCAAAATATTTACGAGTCTACCTGCATTTTCATGGGTCTTTGGCCTTCAAATTTGCTGTATTGTATTGATTACAATGCAGCAAATTAGGCATCTTATGCAACTGGATAATACAGTGCGGTTCATAATTATACGAACACCCTAAATTTTAGAAGTTTCTGGACTTTTCAGATGAAACTCCAAAAGCCGTTTTTACTACGCGAAAGAGTACATTCGAAAACAATATGCGATCCACAAGAATGGAAATCGATGTCAATCCTAAAAGTGTTTTTGGGCCTAATGCGAGTTTTGAACGGTTCATAGTTATACGAACACTTCAAACAATGGTCCATTTTTCATTCGAGAGTGCAACCTTTCGAGTCCAAATTTTTTGTAGAGTTACAGCAACAAAGTCTGAAACATCTGCTACACACTGAACCCAGTGCAGTTCAAAAAAAGAAACTATTTCAGATGATCTAAATGGTTTTGGTATCACTGCGCACCAAAAAACCAAGGCTAAGAGATAAATAAGCTCTTTCGATAGATATTTTGTTTGACGCCTGCAAAGCCTTTGCGTTTTCGTTCCGTTTCTCAACCAAGCTTTAACCTTACCCTAGAGTTGGCACGATTTCAAACCTCAAAGCTCAGCTTCTGTTTCTCGCAAACATTTGATATGAAGCAACTGCGCTGTTTGCATGGTGATGTATCCGTGCTAAAGTTTTTGGGTTTTTTGCAGAACTAGTCTTGAGGCTATGGAGCTAAAATCAAATAAAGGTGTGACTGCAAAGCAAAAGCAGCGGTTCTGATGAAATGACGCCTGTAGCCAAAACAAATGCTCAACGTTGCTGATTTTTTTAGCTAAATACACATTCTTGTGAGCTTCTACATACTAGGTGCTTAGTTCATTTGTAGGGTTTCAAAAGCTGAGCTTTGAGGCTCGAAATCTCAACTCTAGGGTAAGGTTGGAACTTGGTTGAGAAACAACAAAAAATACAAAGATTTTCCAAGCGCTGAACAAAATATCTATCGAAAGAGCTTATTTTGTCTCATAGACTTGGAGAAGCTTACTGGAGTGCGTAAACCACAAAAACAGATGTTTTTGGAGCGCGATGACTTCAGAAGCATTTAGAGCCATCTGGAAAAAGCAACGCTTTACTTTTCAACTGCGCTGGGTTCGATATATAGCAGATGTTTCAGACTTTGTTATTGTGACTCTACAAAAGTTTGAACTCGAAAGATTGCAATTTTGAACGAAAAATGGACCTTTGTTTGAGGTGTTCATCTAGTATAAACCGCTCAAAATTTACATTAGGCCCAAAAAAAACTCCTAAGATTTGATTCGACTTCCGTTCTTGTGGACCGATATCGTTTTCGGCTGTGCTCTTTCGCGTGGTACTAACGGCCTTTTGAGTTTCTTCCAAAAAGTCCAAAAACTTCTGAAAGTTGGGAAGTTCGTCCGATTATCAACCTCACTATATATTTCCTTTTGAAATTTAGATACTTTTAGAATGTTATATAACTTTTATTACGTGCTATTTAGTGTCTGTTGTAATTGTAAATGATCAGTTGTCCCTTTCTGATCTGCCTCGCGTAATTGGTCGCAACCTCAGAGTGCGCGGGAAATGCGCTATAAAAGGAGCTCACTCTTCGCCTCAGCCAGTTCTACTGTTCACTCTTTCGCCTCTTCTACTGTCTATTATCTTCTTTAATAAATATTTCTGGTTCTTCCTGTGCCGAACAAGGAACGAAGACAGCGAATAAGTGTCCGGAGCTCGAGGACACAACAATGCGCTTCTTGACATACATGCACCCTTAAATAATAATAACTCCATGGTAGCATTTCGATTCGACAGGAGTATAGACGTGGTGGTAGGTGTCGAATACAAAGTTTAGGACGCGCACAAACACAAGATTCGGATGATGGTGAGTAGATCCATAAACACATAGAACAACGATCTAATCAAGATCAGAGTAGTGCAACATGCGTTTTACATGATACTACTGCTCGATTATGTTGCTTTTGGTTGCTATTTGTAACTCTCAGAAACACTGATTCTATCGAGTGTTTTAGGCGGGCACTGCGCAGCGTACGCGCGCTTAATTAGAAGATGACAGCATTTCGCTTACCTCTATCACGCATTTAAATCTGGTTTGATTTGTACGAAATAATCACCTTGATTTGCGTCCCACGATAGTCACTCATTGTCCCTTGTTTGCGGCAAATTTTAGGACATTTATGAACTCCCTTTCGATGAAATATCAAAGCCTAGCACCCTGGAAGCGGTTCAAGCTGAATATGGTGTCTGGGGAGAAAAGTAGAGACAACATGGTTTTTGCGGGTCAGGGGCGAAGAAGAGCTGCAAGCATGCCGGCAAGCAGGCGAGTGCTCCACTATCAACAAACAAAAGGATTGTGTACAATCAAAGCGCAATGGTATTTTAAACTGGGAGTGCGCATAAGCGTGATGAGAGTCTTGCTCAACTTTCCTCCGTATTAGTTGGAACCGTTCCAGCTGGGTTTCAGCTCACAAAAAGTGCACGTTTTGGAGTGGCCTTTTCAGATCGGATGTACATGCCTTCTTCATCTGCGAAACGTTTACAGACCGAAGAGTCATGAGCTTTATTGAAACATAAATTCAAATGTGAATGTAGAATAATAATAGCCGTTGTTCTTCTAGCGCTTCAAAGCAATGGTTATTGTCATGAACTTTTTCCAACAAATACTTTAAAATGAAGAACTACATCACACGAATGCTTGTGGGCTAGTAAGGTTCTAGCAATTCATTTTATCCTAAATGCTAATCACCATGTGCCGACATAGCTTCTGAACATACTATTTTCTCACTAAAAGGACACCATTGTAAGAATTTGTATTTTAATACAACATTAATAGACTGAGAGCGTGGTTTTTCTCAGCACTGTAAATATGGAATGAAGCTAACTTTACAATCCAAAATTCAAAAATCCTGGAAGCTTTTCAGAAAAGATCTATGGTTTGGGACGGTGTGCAATAAGTGACATCATTAGTTGAGAATGCATGATGCAAATGACTTGATTTTTTGGATTTAAAAGAGTCTTGCCAAGGTTCGGCAAACTTACGTAGTATACTTGGGTAATTCGAGAATTTTTCATCGAATGAATGAATATCGAATAAATTCGAAAAGGAAAAATTTCGAATAAACGAATATCAAATAAATTCGGAAAATCAAAAATATCGAATGAATGAATTTCGAATAAATTCGGAAAATTAAAAATATCGAATGAATGAATTTCGAATAAATTCGGAAAATCAAAAATATCGAATGAATGAATATCGAATATATTCGAAAATTGGAAGTCGAATTTTGAATAAATATTCGAATGATTTATCGAATAACTAAAGCAATCACATCTCAAACTTGCCGACATATCCGGCTAGAGCCGATCCAATCATAATCAGCCGCCTAGTATCTTTTATACCAACTCCTAGCTCAAAATTTTCCAAAAACTGCTGGAATCGATAAAATAGATTTCGGTTTTGATTAGCATCCTCATTTACCCCTGTACCAACTCCCAAGCTCGTAGCTCGAGATTTTCCAAAAATCGATAAAATTTATAAAGTAAATTTTTATCCATAATCAGCACCCTCACTTACCCCCTTGTACCAACTCTCAGCCCCGCAGCTCAAACTTCCCCAAAAATCGATAAAGTTTGTCGGTCGGCTTCTAGTCTATACATCAGCAAAAAGTCATATTTTACCCATTATGGACGATCTAAAAAGCAGTCGGTATAGGTTTTTATGTTGTGCCCAAAAGATTCTTCTTCAGTCTGAAAGAGACTGATGTACACCAGAATTAACTTTATTTCTTATCAGCATCAACAGTGTAAAAGCAAAGGGCTTGCTCTATTTTCTACATCAATTAAAATCCACATATGATTTTTTTTACTGTCGCAAGCAGTGGAAGAATGCGACTCTCCATACATTTCAAAGGTATAACGGTTGTAAAAGATGCATTACCCAGTTTTGCGAAAAAAAAAACGCGTACGAATTGAGCTTGATAGTCAGCAGTTGGCTTTGCAACAAAGTCGAATAATCTGAATACGGAGTCATTCTAATACGAATTCGAATAAACATTCGAATAAAACATTCGAATAAAATCTATTCGAAACCCCGTTTTTTGATTATTCGAGTTTTCGAATAATATTCGAAACCCCGTTTTTTGATTATTAGAGTTTTCGAATTTTATTCGAAACCCTGTTTTTTGATTATTCGAGTTTCGAATATTATTCGAAAATGGAAGAACTCCGAATATCGAATTTCGATTACGAATATATTCGAATGTTTTATTCGAATGATCGAATTTCTATTCGATTCGGACCCAAGTATATTACGTAGAGAAATTGAGTTCAAAGCTAAAGGTACTAACTAAAGATACTAACGAATGTGCTGCACTGCAAATTAGTCTCAAAAATTTTTAGGCCATCCTGTATATTACCTAAGCTCTTCAAAACTCACAGCTTTTTATGAATTATTGAAAATTTTGAAAAATTGTCCTGAGAGGTGCGAAAAAAACATAAATTTGAAATTAGCTGTATTAGACA